ATTATCGGGGCATCACCAAGCCGTTCATCGTCTTCAGTTCTGCTAGTTGTGCTTTGAGGATTTCGTTCCCTCGTAAAATATCCTCGAGCCAGTCAGCAGCCTGTGTGAGCATTGCGCTTTTGCTAAAGCCCCCGCCTTTCAGCCCAGGCACGAGTGAACATAAATCATCAAAGCCTTGCCGAATGAGATTCCTGCGCTTTTGTTCGGACAGAATGTGATTGTTCCTCTTCTGCTCTTCTGTGAGATTCTCACGGGCAGCTTTTCCTCCTTGCTGCAGCTTGGGCTTTCGGATTGTGTCATTTGATGTTCGCCTTGGTTTGCCACTAGCCGAGCTCTTTGACCGTCTTGATCTTGGTCTCGTGCTATCTGCGTCGGAGTGTTCATCGTCTTCTTGCTTGATCGAGGTCCTTTGTCGTTTCTTTGGTTGCGAATAGTCGTCTATGGTGTGATTATATTCTCTTTGTAGGCTGTTAAGCGGAACTTGCCCGACGGACTCTCCCCAATGAGAATTGTAACCACCTGCTGTCCGCTCCGGGCTAGGTGCCCGAGTATTCGCAGCGCTGCTTTGAGGTTCAAGGCACTCCAAATTCCCAAGCAACTCTTTTGTTCGCTCTTCTTCATTCGGTTGATCAGGCGGCGCGATGTAACCTTGGTCCATAAAACTAACATCAGAGCCCCAGTGGAGTGGGCGTACCTTTGCTGATGCTTGCTGTTCGGGGGAAATCGGTTCCCGAACATCAAATAGCATCTCCGAGGTATGGAAGCCAACAGGCAGACGCGTATGGGGAGCGCTTGGCTGTTTGGAAGATACGTGGTTGCTGGACTGCTGATTATTACCGTGACCGTTTGAAACAGAGTGACTGAAATTGAGCTCCGGCATGGATGGGAATTGCTGTTGTCCGAATCCCGGGTTGATGTCAGACCCTGCCATCCCGTTCTGATAGAGCATGGAAGCCGCGGCAAGTATGTCAGAGTTCGCGCCCTGGTTATTCGGTACGATGCCAGGTTTCTCTATTCCTCGATGGGAAAGTGACGGTTGTCCGAGCGAAGTAGTAGAGCCTTCAAACGTAGGCGGCAGTTCCGTGGACCACTCGAAATTGACCGGATCAAGGAATTTATTGGGCTGGTTGCGCAGCCAGAAATCATCTGTGAAATGACCCGAGTTCATCGTAGTGAAGAAATTATCCAGCATGTTCGATTCATTGTCATCAAGAAGTGCAGGACCCGGAGGTGGCGCGGGTGCAGGTTCGTATGGGGTGTCCATGGGCGATAAAAACGAATCTGAGACGCAAAATCATTAGAGATATAGCAATATAATAATTCCTCTGAAAATTACATACAACCAAAGGGCCCGAGTTGGGTGTCATTCTGCCCAGAACGGGAGTCGGGATCTTTCATAGTCATTGTAATGTGTAAAGGAGCGACGGATTGGAGGATTATCGTGATAAAAGCCTCGAAGATGATTGCTGCCTTGGTAATCTCAAGCAGGCCTGAGAGAGAGACAAGATGCGCATGCCTCGAATGGCCGTAATCTCGGATCGCAAACACTAGACACAGCCGAATATGGGAGCGTGCGATTTGGACTATCCCAGAGATTTCGAAGGAGCAAGAGTGGCTAAGGAAGATACTGCGCCAAAGAACAACCGAGTGTTTTCTGTTCAGATATTGTACGAAATATGATCAAAAGGTAGGTACGAGACTTGATCGCGGGGTACACAGTGCGTTTAAAAACTGATAACAACGGGTATCATACAGATGATCAACAACTGGACAAGATTGTTCCCCGCATTTAAATTCATGTGCAAGAAGAGGAAGAAGCTGAAATATGACGATGGGAATCTGGAGACAAGTCTCACGCACGTACATAGTTTGGCGGAGAAGGAGGAATCCGTCGGTCTTTTCGAGTCGATCACATGCAAAAGTTCGTGCGTTCTAGAGGTCGCGTGACGTAACCATATTACCGAAATTACGGCTTTGTTCTGCGGAAGTTTGGTGGACTGGCCGTTGCAAGCTCTGTAATTTACTGTCATGGATATCCTCGGAACAATTTCCCAGAGCAGAAAGAGCAGCGATGGCTTCCAACTGTCTGTCATGAAACTGGTTTTTGAGCTCCTTCTCCCAGTCTCACTCGCAAATTATGGGAGAGTTTGGGGGTGGTCGTTTTTAGATCTCTTTGATCATTTGCATCTCATGTTCCAAGGTTAAGGCTTGGGAGACCTCATTTTTGTGTTCCTGCTGCTCCGTACTTACGGATGATCGTCGTCGGCCATTGCATCGCCTAGTCTTAGTTCTTACGTTTCTGCCCCTGAACCAGCCTTGAACCGGTCACTGATGACAACTCCGGCAGTAATTGACTAACTAGGCAAGCCTATCAGTGCCTTTGAATTCCCTATGTTCTAGTCTAAGGACCGAGGTCGAAATTGCCGTTGCACGGATCTCCGGTAGATCATACGAAACATTGCTACATACGGATAGGAGTACGGAGTAGTAGCTGTCTAGTGTCTATTACTGCCACTACTACCCCAGAATACTGTTGCTCACTGCACGGAACTTTTCTCGATACCGAAGGGTTTACTTGTGAGAAACCTAATATCCATGTCAGCATTTCATACTTGAGTTGCTTGCGTCTCTTGTCGACTGGATTTCCTATTTTCTGATTGGCAAGCTCGGTGTCCTGTCAAACAAACAGTTATCCTGATCGAGGCTAAATTCATTATCATGATTGGTCCGAATTATGAGAAATGAGAGTCAGAACGAACTGAACAACATTCAGACATCATGGATACTCCGATGCTTGCTCGTGGGAATAGGAGCAAGGCTCGGATCCTCCAGCCGTAAGTCCGAAATCCTTTTGAAATTACCATTTAAGGCATGGCACGGAGTGTCTCTTCAACATCTTGCATTGGTGCTTGGCGATTTAGCAACGAATCACTGACCTCGCCCTTCTGTAGCGTCCTGCGTGCGTATGCGATAGGTTATCTATCCTCAACAACACCAAGGGTCGTATCATATTTACGCCGGCTGAAAGATGATAGATTGAGCAACAAGGAGAAGCTCGAAGAAGTAAGTCATCCTTTCCTGTCAATCAGTCTACGACGATTGCTCTGCTCGTAGTTGATATCCTTCAATTTTGCTGGTCCTTATCCCAAAAACACCGAGGATAAACTGACTCTCATCGTGCAGTTGTCCAGCATATTGACAAATGCTATCCGTCTGGACAGTTTTCCGACGTTCTGTGCACTTTTAGTCGCGGGCTCGACTGTCTTACCTGTTCTCCTTTTGCGACTTTGTGCACTTGTCAGCAGTAGAATTGGTAAAATATCCGGCCTAGTGAAGTCTCGGGGCTTTTTGCGGTTCGTCCGCTTCGTCGCTGCATTTGTTTCTGCCTGGTTTAGCTTTCAGCTGCTCAATCAGAAGCCTATCCGGCTCCAGGGCAGTGATGTTATCTCGAGCCGAAAAACTGGTAACGGAGACAATGCCGGCCATAGTCCCGAAAAGAAGATCACGGCTCAATACAGTCCTAATCTTTCCGGGAGGACTATGGACCTCACTCTTTTCACTTTCACTAGAGCAATGGATGTTCTTATCTGTTTGGGATGGTCACACTGGCGAGCTTTGCGGAGAAGTCAAAATCGCTGGTCTTTAGCTGAGACTGTCGCTCCTGTGCTTGCTGACACAGGGCTTTTCGCTGCCAGCTCTGCTGTAGTAATGTGGGCATGGTTTTACCTCCCAGAAAGGCTTCCTAGATCCTATGGAAAGTGGATTGGCGAAGTGGCGAAGGTGGACATTCGACTCATTGAAGCGCTTCGACGGGCCAGGCGAGGAATATTCGTATATGGAAAAGAGACTGGCCAGGCGCCTCTTCTTGAGTCCATGTGCGAGGATTACAACTGGCCTAGAGAGTGGGGAGACCCAAGCAAGATCATTCCCATCCCTTGCGAAATGGTACACATGGGTTGCGGTCCCAATTGCGAAAAACACGCTGCTTGGCGATTTGCTAGAACATTCAAATTCGCTTGTGCAACCTATATCCCGCTGCAAGTTATCTTCCGTCTGCGGTCAATGAAAACGATGTCGTCTCTCTGGCGGGCCCTGGCCGATGCCCTGCGGTCATCTACCTTCCTTGCTTCATTTGTGAGCATTTTCTACTACTCTGTTTGCCTGGCCCGAACGAGAATTGGTCCAAAGATATTTAGCCGGGAAACGGTGACAGCACAGATGTGGGACTCTGGCCTCTGTGTCGGGGCCGGGTGTCTCATGTGCGGATGGAGTATATTGGTTGAAAGTGCGCGGAAACGACAGGAGATTGCGCTGTTCGTGGCACCAAGAGCCGCCGCAACTGTGTTACCCCGTTATTATGACAAGAAGGTATGGTTAATGAGCTTTGTTCATGTCACGTCGCTCGACTCGGGGATGGTTACATTTCCCCTTATCGTTCCATCCTGTCTTTACCATTTCTTTCCTCCCAGAAGACCCCCTACTACTCAGAGTGAACCATCAGTTACTAACATGATCCCAGTATCAATCCCGAGAGCGCGTTACTTTTGCACTCAGCGCTGCCATCCTTTTCACCTGCCTTCGTGAACGACCCAGCATGGTTAGAGGTGTTTTCGGAAAAATTGCAAAAAGTGTGTTGAAGTGAAGGGAGAGCATTGTATATTGCATCCATAGAGTGTTTAGTGTGGGGGATCATTTTATTTATCGATCGAATTCTCCAGGAGAGAGTTCATGTACATCAGTAATAGACGCGATATGATTAACAAACTCTGTAAGCAGTCATCCTTTAGCTCGAGAGATACGCTTGATCGACGATAGCCCTAGTTCTACCATTGACTTGGTGAGGTATTTGAACTAGATACTTTCCATCAAAGGCGACTTTTTCGTCCAGCAAATGGCAAATGGCAACCTTTGAGAAATGAAGGTACCTCGAGGAATGCTTGAAAGAAAGCTATTGAATCTGACATCTGTCATCATCAGGACGTGCTGCGGCACAGCCACCTTGCAGCCTAAACCCGCGACGAGATAAACAGCGATCTGACCGTCTTGCATCATTTGATATCTCCCAAATCTCACTATTATCGGCCTTTTCCGCTGAGAAATAAAACTCGACATGCCGCTTTGCGAGATCTGTGACTCTCTTGACCTTGATCAAGATGATCTTACGGATTCTGGTATCAAATTAGGGACGTTCAAAGACCTGCTTACGAGAGCTCAAAATGGCTGCGACGCATGCGAATTCTTCTCCAACGTGTTGCAGACTTCTAGTCGATGGACGACAAGGCTTGACGAGCTTGCCGAGCGAGTGATCTTTCTTGACAGTTCCCGCTTGGACGCGAGGAAGCCGACGAAGCTTGGTAATTGCACTTATTCTGCAGACGACTTGTGTTTGGACCAGTGCGTTTCAGAAGATTATGAGGGTGTGCACAGTTTATGCTAAAAGCGTCGTTATCGAAAGGCTGATCTTTACAGGCCCACTAGACGAGGAGGTCGACCGTGTTCGTCGCATCCCCGTCGATCTAAGGGACGAAAAGTGCTGCGGTCTGATTCAAGCTTGGACTGCTGAATGTGTGGCCCATAGCACCTGTGCGAAGCCTTTGGCTGTTAAACTGCCGGAGAATATCATTGAGATCCCGGCAGATCTTGCAGTTGCGCCCAGGCTGTGTTCGTCGAATGGTAGATCAGGGTCTTATGTGATTCTGAGCTACTGCTCCGGGGATTTCGAGCCTTCGACTCAGCGAGAGTCGGGTAATACCAACTTTTCGGCTCCATTAGATGGGCCTTCCCTGCCGAAGACTTTGGCAGACGCGATAGATATTGCACGCAAGCTAGGGTATCAATATCTGTGGACCCGAACCCTTTGCACTTCCAGAGAGGAATGGGGCAGTGATCCAGCTCGAATTGCAGAGATATACGGTCAAGCAGCTTTGATACTTTCAGCGGAAGTTGCGGATGACGCGCGCTCAGGAATTTTCCATCACAGACGGGTATTCTACTCTCCTGCGCTAGGTCGCAACAAAGACAAGTACCTTCGGCAGCGGCTCCTGCGGTGGACATCGGACATTGAGGAGTCACCGCTGGGGGACGGGGGTGGGAGATTGTCGAAAGAATGCTAGTTCCGCGCATTTTACATGTCACGAGGCGTCAATTGATCTGGGAGTGTGCTTCCGGGTTCCAGTTCGAGGCATCTGGAATTGTCGACGAAAAGACAGGCTCTGGGCAAATTCGACAACGCTACGTCAAGGGAGCCGTGCAGCCGTACATAGACAGGTTTCTCCAAGATCAAGTAAAGGAAGCTGGTGGCGTTGGCGACGAGGTGGACATCAGCAAGCGAGTGGCACGACTCGAGGCCTGGCATCGGTGTGTAGACGCCTTTTCAAAGGGATCAGTCAGTGTGCCATCCGACAAGCTACTCGCCATGGCTCCCCTCGCATCTGCCATCAATGACGGCACTCTGGGCGAGTATCTCGCGGGAATTTGGAGCAGTGACATCGCCTTCGGGCTTGCCTGGTCACGACCTTACGGTGTCTTACGTCCAGCAACAGAGTACAGAGCCCCAAGCTGGAGCTGGGCCAGCGTAGACGGTACAGTGAGCTCGCATGCTCTGGCGTGGCCCCAGGATCTAATGCAGGGGCATGCTAAGGATTCCTCCTGGCTGAATAAATACCAGCCAAAACTGGTATCTCAGCACATTACTCTCTCCCATCCCCAACGCCCGTATCGCCACGTCCTGAACAGCTCACACATCCTCGTGGAAGGCTCCTGCATTGGACTTAAGACACTTACCCGAAACTTACACGGCAACGAAGCCTTTGGCTTGACTTTGGTCCTAGATCAGTCACAGCTCTTCGATTGTTCATGCTGCATTCCCAGGTCCGCAGATACCCAAAAAGCGGATCTGGACAAGTTCAGCAGCAATATTGAACACTATTTCTGTATGGTTATACAAGGGGACGCATGGCGGGTAGAAGAACGCTGGAATCCTCGTCGTGGATTTTGCGATCTTCTTATTCTGAAACCTTTGGACGAAGCGGAGGCTCTCCTGAGAGTAGGCATCCTGCGGGTTTCGGTTGGATCATTGACTGACCCACATACGGCGTTTGATGCACTGCCCTGGGAAAGGCGCAGGATGAAATTGGTCTGAAAGTCTGGCCATTTGTCTTAGGGTGCTGGGCACTTTTGAGAGAGCCTAGCATACACAGCAAACAGGCCGTGCAGGGTGACACCTGCATCAAGGGCCACTCTGTATCTTACCAAAGCGTTGGGTTGGTCACGGATATGACCACATCATCTAGACCATAGTTGCACAAGCATGCTGGTAGGGAAGGATATCCTCTTGTGGTTATTTCAGGAACACGGAGGAAAGTCAGCTCAGTTGATGAATATATATCTTCGAGAACCAACGGGTGCTTAGTTTAACCAGGTCACTTCGGAACTCGCGTAGTCCATTACGCGGGACGGCGGATAGGATACTGCTTCCTCCTCTGACGGCTTGCTCAGATCTTCTTCTTTCTTCTGCCCCACATTGAGGTCCTCGAGTTGGGATGTATCAAGAGATACCAATGTGGCTGGTGGACTATTATATAGTTCTTATCGATAAGAGTACAGATCATGTGATAGGATCTTCATGTCAGCTCCATTTCTCAGACGATGCATTCCCCGATAGATCCGCAAAGCAACAATTGACAGTCATGTTTGCTCGTGCGCCCTTGCAATGGGCACATTTACGGTCGGCAGGGACTGGCCTATGTTCAGGGCGCTTGAACACGCGCTATTTTAACTTTGGCAAGAAGTTGTTCTCTCACAATTCGTTCCTTCGCCAGGAACTACACCAAAATTCCGCATTTGCGCCTTTCAATACACCCCAGTCGCAGAAACGGAATGCATCCGTATTGTATGAATATTGATTTTCTCGTTACTAGCGACATGATTGACGTCTTCTAGGTACTACACCGCAAGTATCGTTGTTGGAACTTTAGCGCTCGCTTATGGCTCCGTTCCTCTATATAAAATGGTACGTGGAAGCCTTGATGGAGGTTTGGCGGTCTCAGTCCAGACATGAACCTGAACAATCTTCCTTTGCAGGTTTGTCAACAGATCGGCTGGAACGGTCAACCAGTACTTACACACCGGACCGGAGACGGCGACACCTCATCGCGCGTAACGCCAGTGACCGATGCTCGTCGTCTTCGAATCACCTTCAATGGTTCAGTGTCGGATGTCCTGCCTTGGAAATTTACACCACAGCAGCGTGAAGTCTGTGTGTTACCCGGTGAGACGGCACTTGCTTTTTATACCGCGACAAATAAAGGCCCGACGGACATTATTGGTGTTGCAACGTACAGTGTTACTCCTGGTCAGGTCGCCCCATATTTCAGCAAGATCCAGTGCTTCTGCTTTGAAGAGCAGAAATTGAATGCTGGAGAGTCTGTTGATATGCCGGTGTTCTTCTTCATTGACCCGGATTTTGTGAAAGATCCGGCCATGAAGGGCATCGACACCATCACTTTGTCGTATACTTTCTTCAGTAAGAAATTATCAGTCTAGAAGCTCGAAGTTGGATGGAACGCTAACTTTTTTATAGAAGCGAAGTATGATGACAATGGAGTTCTGAAACCGATACCCGCTGCTTAAAGCTCCAGAAAACCGGCTTCTTTATCCCCTCAGGACGCAGCGGCTCGCGTCGATCTCGAGCCGGGATATAAGGTTATCAGACCCATGCCTTGAAGCAACTTCAAAAGTCGACATTCGGCCAACCTCCTCAATCCAGACGCGCACACATCTCTTGACGTGGAGATTGATTTGGCCGAGTCTCTCCACATAGACAGCGTGTCTACGTCCATTTCATCTAGATGGACAGCGAATATTATCTCCTCTCTGGAATTAGCCACATTGGATACAAAATATCAGGAAGCCCGTCCTTCCGTGTATTGTACAAATGCGTCTACTGTACATATCATTCTTCAGATTACAACTATCGTGTCTTTGAAGTAGATATGTGAAAGCATTCCCTCCTTGTAAAACGCAAAGCACCCGGCCCACTTGATTTCGAATTGAGGACAGAATTGTTCATGGCGTTTGGACTTTTAGACAGGCAACTTCACCTTAGATCACGTGGGATTCTACTAAACTGTGCAATGGGCACGGGCCACCAATTAAGCTCACGCGTCACGATTAAACGCGTATCGGCTCTTAGCGATATAGGTACTCTACAACGGCTGTTGATCTGTCTTGTCACTATACTTGACTTTGTATACAATTGCAGACAGAGGCATCAAAATGGCTCTTTTAGTGGATAGATTGCGACCTCGTTCGCTTGATTCTCTATCCTACCATCATGAACTTTCCGCGCGTCTAAAGTCATTGGTAAGATACACCTATTGCTGCTGAATGATGAGCAGATCATTGACTTTTTCTTGAATCGCCGCAGGCTCAAAGTGGCGATTTCCCTCATCTCCTGATGTATGGGCCGTCGGGTGCAGGCAAGAAGACCCGTGTGATTGCGACGTTGAAGGAGTTGTACGGCTCGGGAGTAGAGAAGATCAAGATTGACGCCAGAGTCTTCCAAACGACAAGCAATCGAAAACTTGAGTTCAATATCGTATCATCCGTCTATCATCTCGAGATTACCCCATCCGATGTTGGCAACTATGACCGGGTGGTCGTCCAAGAGCTGCTCAAGGAGGTCGCGCAGACTCAACAGGTTGATTTATCTGCGAAACAACGGTTCAAAGTCGTTGTCATCAACGAGGCGGATCATTTGACTCGCGATGCGCAAGCAGCGTTGAGACGAACGATGGAGAAATACAGCCCCAACCTGAGACTGATCCTGCTGGCAAATAGCACGTCGAACATTATTGCTCCCATCCGTTCTCGAACCCTGCTGGTCAGGGTCGCCGCACCTACAGAAGAACAAATCTGCTCGGTATTACAGAACGCTGGTAAAAGAGAAGGCTGGCCGGAGGCCCCTGGACTCAACAAGAGAATAGCCAAGGAGAGCGATCGCAATCTTCGGCGAGCGCTTCTCATGTTCGAGGCGATATATGCTCAGACGTAGGTGCTCCGTGCTGTTTGTGATTGCCGGTATATAACTAACCATGCTACTCAATTAGCGAGAAGGTCACGGACAACACGCCAATTCCCCGCCTGACTGGGAAGCTCTTGTCTCATTAATTGCAGACGAGATACTCGCTGAGCGGTCACCGGCCCGTTTGCTGGAGGTCCGCGCGCGGTTATATGACCTCCTCACTCACTGCATACCACCTACAACAATCATCAAGGTTTGACTGCCGGACTCGTCCATGTCCGAAATGGCTCCTGCTAATAGCTTCACAGACTCTGACTTTCAAGTTGGTTGCAAGAGTCGATGATGCATTGAAGCCGGACGTAATTAAATGGTCCGCTTTCTACGAGCACAGAATCACTCAAGGAAGCGTAAGGGTCATCTACCTAACCAACACGGAGAATATGCTCACACCGGATACAGAAAGTGATTTTTCACCTAGAGGCCTTTGTTGCCAAGTTTATGCGCATCTACGAAAGGTTGGATCCTCCAGCTACCAAGCGAGCATTTTGACCAATTGCTGACGATATTTCGCAGTTACTTGATGGGCATGGACTTCTAGGCACATCTTTTGCCATGACTAATGAATGTATAAAATGGGCTGTATCCCAAAAGTAAGAGGTATTGATTGCATTGATGGATGGACCCTTGTGATACCGGTTTGCATACTCTGTAATACATAGTCCATAAATTGAGGTGACTCGGTCAAATCTCTTGTTGCGCAGAAAATGGTGTGGTTTTGTCAGTGCACAGCAGTAGACATTTTACATACCAAAGCTGAATGGGATTTCCTCATGTTATGTGTCTTGCACGCTTGAAGATCTCTAGCAAAAGTGATTAGGTCGCAAGCATGAACTTGGTGGCCTCCGCGATGGTGTACGTCATACCTACCATGACCATATAAATTGAGATGACCCGCCGAAGGGCCAGAAAAGCTACGCAGATATCAGCAAGCAATTGAAGCATCAATTACTATTAACTTAGCAAATTTGTTTCCCCTTTTCTCTCCAGGAACCTACTAGTTCAGGAACCTACTAGTCATGTCTAACCCCAACCTTTTGGACATTGAACCCGGTGGAGAGAACACCCAGTACGTACTGCTGCGAGCCCTGTAACTTTTTTTCTCTACAAGACATAGAATAGACTAACCTCGGAACAGGTATGAATCCATTCGATTATTTACGGAGACCCCACACAAGCAAACGGGGCAATTGGGTGGTACGCTGAACTCTCATGCCCATCTGCGCCTAGTTCATTTCGAACTTGTGTCTTGACCGGGATGTAGTAAACTCGCCACACACGAAAAGCGAAATGAGGACTTATTTCGATTCTGACAACAACGGCCAGAAGCTGAGAGATGAGGACGAAGAGGAGGCGCAGAGGCTTGAGGGCGAATTCACATCTAACATATCCGGGGAAACGGATAAAGGTATGATACTCTTGGATTTCCCTTCTATTTAACTCCGTGGATGAAGACATGAAACAGTGAGCGTACAAATATCACAGAGAATCCGAGGCTGACTATAGTATACACAAGACTCGAAGGAGAATGAAGCAGCGGCGAAGACGAGGAGGCAGCAGGGGTATGGACCTGGTTCCGGCGTCGGCGCTTAAGCGACGCTAAGAAGGCGTGAATGACATAGCGTGGCAGAGGCGGGGTTTAAGGAGAAGCGGAAGAAGCGGATGAGCTGGATGATGTGGAGTTGGGAGGTGTGGCCATATTGTCTGTACCTAGGGCCGGACTCCTCCGTGGTTTTTTGAGGCTTTCAAGAGTGACACCGTTGCCGAGTTTTGTGATACCGACAACAGGCGGGTCACCCTTCTTCACAAATTCCCAGAGGCCTGTTTGCAAATAAAATATTAGGATTCCCAATTCTTCCATAGCATGAGGTAAACCATACCGGGTAACTTGTGGCCTGCCAGTCGGAAAGCTTCCCTCGCAATCTTTTCGTGTAGATCACCCTTAAGCTCGAAGACGATTCTGCTGACGGCAACTCTTGCAGTCCAGTAGTCGAACTTTCCCTTACCCTTACCCATACGTTGCTCGTTGCCCTTGGTGTATACACCAATGTTGGCGCTGACGCGTTTGTACAGGGTATAATTCATACCTCTAAGCCGTCGCTTGATAGTTTCCTCCGCAAGCTTGAGGGATGCAGCAGGTAGCCGGCGATCATGATCCTTCATTCGCAATCCGTAGTCACCCCAGACGACAGTTGTACCACGAGACGAACCGCCGGTAGGGACATGTGGTCGACCTTTCGGAGACTTCGATCTTTCCATGAACTTCGGAGTGAGCCAATCAAGGGCCGGTGAGGATGTTGAGAAGCATCGTGATAGTTGGAAACCTGCAAAGGGTGACGATAGACCTATGGGACCGACGTTAGTTCAATGTGCGGAAGACGAAGAAGAGTTTTATAGGAAACACCAGGTAAGCTCACAGGTAGGCCGGAGAAAGGCCATTTGGGGACCCGCCAACATCTTCATTTGAGGACCCATTGCGACGAACGACCGGGCCCTTTTGTGGGAGTTGAACAGGTTCAAGGGACCGCAGAATTTCAGGCTATCGGCATTATCTGCATGTTCGATGTCTTCTGGATCCCAAAACGGTAGAGTGTGGTGCGCACGTGCCACGAGACCACGGCTTATGTAACCAAATTAGATCACGTCGGCGAACCAGCTGCAGGCGTGGCAGGCGCGTCATTCGCGTTTCCGAGGCGAGCTCGACATGGTTATCAGGTAGAAGTGAGAAGTCAGAGGTTGCCTGTTTGGGGTATACTTTTAATTTAATTGCACTTCTCGCCTCCTTAGATTGCATGTCAAGCTCAGAATCGATACAGTATCACCATGCCTACCGACATTAGGAACTTCTTCGGTGGCAAGTCCAGTCAGGGCTCTAGTGCGTCTCCCGCGAAACCGCCAGCAAAGAAAGAGGTAAGCTCATACCATAAGTCAGAAATGACACTAGGATCCTGCCATAATGAGATAAGGATTGTTGCTGAGACCCAATTTTTTAATTGCAGGATGCTTCAACCGCCAGGAAGAAACGTATGTTCGGCCATGGAACGATAATTCCGGGCCATATTTACTAAGCTATATAACAGGAAGCAGAAAGGTTGTCGATGACAGTGATGAAGAAGAGGAATTAAAACCCAAGTCACCTGCGCCGAAGTCAAGGGCAACGGGCACGTCGTATGTGAAAGACTGTTGCTCGCTGCTGGTGTATCACTAACGATTTCTGAAGTAAACCAGGTGTGTCCCACGGCCAGCCGACGACCACTTCAGACTATTTTGCGTCCTCAAAAAAGAAAACAAAACCTGGCAAAACCGAAGAGGTGACGAAGACTAAGGAGGTCTGGCCTTCTGATACTGCAGCTCTCAATGGCCGTGACGCTGAGGACGCTTCTGAAACGAAGAATACAAAGACCGCCGACCAATCACCCAGACAACGCTCTCGCAGGACGGCCAAGAAGAGCACAGTTGTTCTAGACGACGACGATGGCTTAGGAAAAGATGACATTTTCGCGACAGACTATCGAAAACCAGGTAAATACGACGATGACTACGTTGAAGAGGATGAGCACGACGAAGATGATGACTTTGAGGAAATGGAAGTCAAACCGGCCAGTGCGGCTTCCGGCAAGTCATCGCGCAGAAAGAACGCCAGTGCAGCCGAGTCAGCCGACGTGGCCATGAAGGACGCACCAGCAGAACCCGCAAGAGCCTCGCGCACAGGCCAGAAACGAAAGTCTGAGGCCTTTGATCGGGATGAAGATTACGAGGATTCTAAAGCCTCGAAAGGTCCTGTGCGCGCAAAAGCAGCGCCATCCGCGCCCGCTGCCAAGAAACAGAGGGGGGCGGCTACTAAAAAGGACGAGCCAGAGAGCAAGGAAATCCAGGATATATTCGACAGCATACCGACAATTAAACCACCTTCCCCACCACCGCCGTCAGGTGAGAAGGCAAAATTCAACTTTGCTGCTACGCAAAGATCGCGAGATCCTGTAGCAGGGGGGACCGCAGAATTACCCGTTGGCGCTGAAAACTGCCTGGCTGGATTATCATTTGTCTTCACGGGTGTTCTTGATACCCTCGGCCGCGAAGAAGGTCAGAACTTGGTCAAAAAGTACGGTGGCAAAGTTACCACAGCACCTAGCTCAAAAACCAGCTATGTGGTTCTGGGAAGCGATGCTGGACCCAACAAACTCAAAAAGATTCAGGAGCACAACTTGAGAACTATCAATGAGGAAGGGCTGTTTGAACTTATCCGGCGACTCCCTCCCAACGGTGGGGATTCAAAGGCAGCTGAGAAACATGCGGCGAAGAAGAAGGCCGAAGAGGACAAGATCAAAGCAATGGCCGCTGAAATGGAAGCAGAAGAGAAGCGGAAGCTCAAGGCTAAGGAAACTAGGACACCTAAAGCATCTGCAGGGTCTCGAGCTCCCTCGGCGTCTCAAGGCGCCAAGGTTGATTACCAGCTATGGACTACGAAATATGCCCCGACAGCCATGAATATGATATGCGGCAACAAGGGTGCTGTTGAGAAGCTCCAAACTTGGCTTCATAATTGGCACAAGAATGCCAAGTTCAACTTTTCAAGACCTGGAAAAGATGGGTCTGGGGTCTATCGCGCCGTGATGATCCATGGACCTCCGGGGATAGGGAAAACGACGGCAGCGCATCTGGTAGCTAACCTTGAAGGCTATGATGTTGTCGAAACGAACGCGAGTGATACAAGGAGTAAGAAGCTCGTGGAAAGCAGTCTTCTTGATATCTTGGACACAACTTCCCTGCAAGGTTATTTTTCCGGCGAAGGCAAGAAGATCGAGAGCACAAAAAAGAATCTGGTTCTCATAATGGATGAAGTTGATGGAATGTCTGCTGGTGATCGAGGTGGCGTGGGCGCGTTGGTTTCACTGGCGAAGAAAACCCACATACCCTTGATTCTAATCTGCAACGAGCGAAGGTTGCCGAAAATGAAGCCCTTCGATCACGTTACTTATGAGTTGCCTTTCAGGCGCCCGACAGCCGAGCAAATCAGAGCCAGACTCTCGACTATCTGCTTCCGGGAAGGCTTAAAGATTCCACCTCCGGTATTGGATAGTCTCATTGAAGGGACCAACGCCGATATTCGGCAAGTCATCAACATGCTTTCCACTGTCAAATTAGACCAGCAGCATCTTGACTTTGACAAAGGAAAAGAGATGTCCAAAGCATGGCAGAAGCATGTGATCCTGAAGCCCTGGGACATTGTCAGCAAGATCTTAAATGCCCAGACCTTCTCTCCCAGCTCTAAAACCACTTTGGGTGACAAAATCGAGCTGTACTTCAACGATCACGAGTTCAGTTATCTGATGCTTCAAGAGAACTACCTGAGAACCAGACCAACGCTAGCTGGCAATTACCAGGGCAAGGAACAGAAGTTGAAACTGCTTGAATTGGCGGACAATGCTGCCTCTAGTATCAGTGATGGCGATCTTGTCGATAGGATGATTCATGGAACGCAGCAGCAATGGAGCCTTATGCCGACTCATGCCGTTTTCAGTTTTGTTCGCCCCGCAAGCTTCATTTACGGCAATATGGTGGAGCGGCCCGGTTTCACTAGCTGGCTGGGGCAGAATAGTAAACAAGGTATGTCTCAGTGATGCACTATTTGCGTTCTCGATATTAACATGGCATGTGCAGGAAAACTCTGGCGTTATGTCAAGGAAATTCAAGGTCACATGCGTCTTCGTGCTTCTGGTGACCGCGATGAGATCAGACAGCAATACATCCCGCTCCTCTGGAACAAACTGGTTCGCAGATTGATGGATGAAGGCAAAGACAGCGTTGAAGATGTCATTGACTTCATGGACAGTTATTTCCTCACGCGCGATGACTGGGATGCTCTCGTTGAGCTTGGTCTGGGTCCTATGGATGAGTCCAACGTCAAGCTGGAAACACAAACAAAAGCCACCTTTACACGTTTGTACAACCAGCGATCGCATCCACTGCCATTCATGAAAGCCAGCAGTGTTGCGGCTCCGAAGAAGATGGCAAAGGAAAAGCCAGACATCGAAGATGCCATTGATGAATCGGATGAAGCAGAGGTCCTCGAAGATGACGCACAGGATAACGATGAAAACGAAGAACTTGATCTGAAGAAGGACAAGTATGTCCGTGTGCCCAAGAAATCAGCGGCGCAAAAGGGCGCGTCAGGCAAAGGCAAGAAGGGTAAAAAAGCGAACCCCGACGACGATTTTATCGACGATGACGAGAAACCTAAGAAAGGAAAGGGCCGAAAGACCAAGGCAAAGGCCTGAGATGTATTTGTTTCGCTTTACGATGGCACCCGGGATTTGTTGTCTACCTCTGTTTATGAGCTCCTGGCAAGATATTGAGTTAAAAGGATTGTATATGACATGCGAAGCGGTTCCATATCACAGATTAATGTACCATATTTGAAGCCTGACCGTGATACAATGAATGACCTATTTATACTATCTTACACAGTGATTGAGATACATCAGATGAAACTGTCTGTTAAGTACTCCGTATGCCCGTAGGTTGGTTCCATACTTTCGGCCAGATTTTGTGTGAAGGACCTAGGCCAGGATCTTGGCCGATCTGCGGAGTAGTGCATACGTAGTAGGCAATGTTTTGGGGAGCACCGCCACAGAATACAGTGTCCTCCAGTAACTACTAGTCTACTCCTCATCAGGAAGATCAGTTCATTCTCACGCCCCCGCCATCAACCCTTTAAACCAACTACACCAAGGGTACATTCCTTCTATTCTTTTTGTTTTGAATAAACAGGCTGGACCTGCTTGTGGTGAACTGGCTTTCATCTTAATTATCTGCTCCATGCGCTCAGCGCATATCTTCCCTTCATCACAGCCCTCCGTCTCCATACGGTCTGGAATATTACACTGTGTCTTCGCTGGGTTCAATATTTGTCGGCCGATTCCATTAGGGACACGATCATAATCGTGGACACTGAGTAAGCCACGTTGAGACGATGTCTCTCCTACATAATGATGAGTAAGTTGCCATTTCCACCGCGCGCCGATCTGCTTTGTGCAGTATGGTCGCGACTCGGGCACTAACTGATCGTCAGCTTTACCATTTGGCAATTGCGCACCTCATATCTATCAACGATCAAGGATGGAGTCGGCGAACGGCTTATTAATGTGAATAACTCCGTCCTCAATACGCCCGGCTTTCGTGCCGCTGGATGGTTCTCAGGATCAACCAACCCTAGCAGCCAAGCCGCGGCAGCGCAAGCAAGGAGAGCCTCTTCCCCTCCTATTCCGACCACTGCCGCCGTCTCCTCAGAGTACTATCGCTTCGGCGCTTCAAGAGATGCCAATACCTTGCGCAGATCCAGGCTGGGGGATTACGGAGAAGACGAAGAAGGGGGCATGGTCACTGGTAAAAGCAATGTGGATGTGGTCGGCCGTCGGCACCAGGGCCGGAGTGGCAAACGGACGCGCCGCCGGGATCGCCAACAGAACGAACAGCAGAAACAAAGAGAAGCCGAAGACGATGATAGCAGTGACTTGAGTGATGAGAGCGACGATGATGGAGACAGCACTCGGAGGTTAGTGTCCGGTAGCATGTCATTTGATATTGTGCCGATCTTGTGTTTTCCTGCTGAAATTATTCACACTGATGCTGTAGTAGGGCTTCTCAGATTCAATTCTCTAAGGTGCCAATCCGCACACGAGCCGGATCTTCGCCCATCCGTTCGTCTGATCGTCATGAGGGGCCGGAAGTCATGGTCACATCTCCCTCACACCCAGCAACAGGAGCGCATTTTCGCACTGGATCATTGGGGACGGCAGTGAATGTGAATGAGGGACGACCACGACGAGACACTACTACCAGTAGCGACCTGTCTACAGATAACGAGACCAACGAAATGGACCCTTCATTTAAGAGGCGACAAATCCAATTCTCGACCAAGGACAAAATCATAGAATACCAGGACCCGCCTCGAAGCACTAGTAACAGGAACGTTGACGCTATGACACTTGGAGGGCTCAGCGAGGCCGCGGAGGACTCTGGCGCTGAGTCTGTAGGATCTGTGCTCTCGTCCGAGTTCGACGCAACAGCTGGGTCCGGCTCGCTGTTGGAAGACGTCGGGATCACGGGTGGCTTGGACTCATCCTCGCCTGTCGCGTTGATGCATAAGCTGCAGAACGGAGCTGGATCCCAGACTGCATCCCCAAGGAAAACCAGAACTCCAGCACCCGAGTTGCAAAATCTGCCACCACCACGCCCCATCAGCAGGCTGCAACCTACCAGTTTACTGACGCAAGCGCTTAAAGCACGGATGACGGCGCCCACAAATCCTGTCGAGAAATTCGCTGTTCTTTCCGGTAAAGGGCTGGCGGATGCCCTAAACATCAAGCTTTATCTTCCATTCTCCTCTGACCCCGATGAACCTCTTGACCTTCAGTTGGCCAGGGAATCCAAGCTTGCAGATCAACCGGCGCCCGTCACTGTTGCGGAGGCTATTGGGCTGGCGCTTTGGAGATACTCGGAAGAAGGTCGCGAGCCAGCCATCGAGCGTAACAAACTCAATGTGAATCGATGGACACTACGAATGGTCGAGGATGGAGAGATTGAATATGATTTTCCGCCTCTGAGTCGAGCATCACACATAGCAGACTTCACTTCGAACAATAACAATAGGGCGATGGGAGTGAGGGGCCGATCGAGGGGAAAGCAATATGATGAATTTGCTTTGGTGGAGGCTTCCGAGGAGGAGTTCGAAGAGAATGAGCGGCTGTTCCCGCAATACAGTCAGGAAGCACCCTCAGAAGAAAACGTGACGACGCCTACAGCGCCGACAGTGCCACTCATCCAGCCTACTCCGCAGAGTAAGGCCCCGGCAGCTCGCCTGAATCCCATTCTGGGACAGCCGTTCTCATCTGCTTTGAACGACAATACCTTGACTCCAGCTGACCGGCCCGCGGTGCCTACGTCCCACGCTACACCTCGAATGGGCGTCTCCAAAACACTGAAGATCCGGTTCATGAACCTTGATGCTGCCACTCACGTTACAACTCTGAACACCTCTACCGACAGCTACATAGCCGAGATTCTGGACTCAGTCTGCAAAAGATGGGCACTCGACAAGGGCAATTACATCCTCAAAGTGGCGGGATCCAACACGATAGCGCCGCTTGACCGGACAGTCGAGGCTCTGGGTAATATTACAGACCTCGACCTTGTACGGCGTCGATTCGGGGCGGGCCCTCTGTCATTAACTGGTTCCCCAGGAAGCTCATCGCCCAATGCGCCGTTGCTCATCGATAACAAACAGAACGCTGCAAGCAAGAAGAGCAAGAAGAGCGGACCAAGCATGCTACATCCACTCACCCAAACACAGGAACTTACGGGTAGTTATTACCGGCGCTATCATGTGTTTCGAAAGCAGTCGATGTCCTTCACAACCTCGAACCATCGCATCTTGACTTTTGACAATGATTACATGCACATCATGCCGGGGGACACGGGCAAGGCTGCATCCGACACCAAAACCCGATCGATCAGCTTCAACGATGTGGTGGGATGCAAAGTGAGCCGGCGACACCCGAAGAACTTCCGGGTCGTTGTTCTACGGGGCAACGATGCCAATGAGCAGAAGCGGTACGATTTTGAGGCGCGAAATGCCCTGGAGGCGGTCGAGATAGTGGATGAGATCAAGAAGAACATGGCTCATTATCGCATTTAGTTATGGGGAAGGGGTTGGTATGGGCGTTTGGGGACAAGTCTTGCATTCTGAAGGGACATGCTGTTTTGATGCGATTGTCTAAGGAGGTTTGGTTCGTTGATGTACAAGTTACCCCTGGCATGAGATGAGAATCCACGAAGAAATGATATGTTATCACTACGAAAGATACTGCTGCACACTAGGCAAGCACATTAATTTTTAATTTAGGGAATAGTGCCGGTTGGGCACAACAGGCCTGGAAGCGGGGCCTTCCGGGGATCCGCTGGGGGTAATGAAGTCACCAAGCTAGAGGCTTTGTAAGGTCTGTCTACAGCTGGATGGAATTGAGACATTTGACAATTGTTATCCTGGTAGGTATAAAATGTTGAAATTCACAGTATATCAAAATGTCATATCGATGCTGGAGTAACCCCGCGGAAAACAGGACCTGAAGTTGGGGTGGCCCAGTCATGATCTCAATGGTACATGGTCCCGGATGTCAAAGGATCTAATATTGAGTGATGATCTCATAGTGTCTGAGAGTTTTGCTCTCCACTCTCTTTCGTAGATCTTCATGAAATCTTCTCTAACATGGTCTAGGGACTCAATTAATCTCAGATGATACGAATTAATTTAAGAGTGAGAAGTGTAAAGTGTACTGTGTAATTCCTTCAAGAATGGTTTGAGGACGCAGATAGGGTCGAACAAATGAGCGAGATGAGTGCGTACTATAGAGGTACTCCGTAGAGACAATTATTCCCACTTTAATTGTAAACCTTACAACAACGCTATATTATCATCATCACATCCTTATCATCAGCAAGTAAGGACATCATCGTCATCATCATCTTGACTATGAATTAGTCCCTCCCCACTCTCTTGGCTTTGCCTCCATTTACTCGGTACCGCGACACCCCGAGAATCTAGATATAGTCCATGAGGAGAGGTTGAACATTCCGATCAATTGACCTTGAGATGTAAGGAAAAGCCACGAAACAAGAAGAAAGAAGCAGTCAATCTCCAGTGCAGCTCTGCCTTCGACTTTGGGTTGTTCGGTTACGCATGATCGGGGGGTTCCATTGACTCCATCATTCTGGTTGTCTCTAGCCCCCGGGAGGCGTCCGCAGTATCCGCGCCAGAGCCATCTCTCGCTCCCTCGTGTGTCTTGTGTTCCCCCCCTCTTTGAAAGCTCTCCCCCAGCCAGAAGAGAAGAGGGGTTGATTTCGCTCACACAAAACTCCCGCACCCCCTAACCTACCCTGACACTCACCAACCCTATGGTCTATGTTTCACCTTATCTCTGACCTCTTATACTCTTAACTCTCATATCCTCGATGCCGACTTTAGGAGGTCTCCTGAAGAAACGGCGGACGAAGGATTCGCATAGCCTCTCTAAAGAACTGGAATCAAGTTCGTCACCCACAGCGGCCCAGACACAGACGTCACCCAACTCTGCCGACCACGACCACCACCACAACCAGCACAACGATCAAACCCACCATCATCAACATCCGGCCACCAGTAACACCAGCAATAATTCCGCAACTCCCTCTGCTGCTCAGCCTCATCGCTCATCCAACGACAATCCCAATCGCTCTTCAGGTGCAGATCAAAATTCCGAAGGTCAAACTGCCTCCATGCAATCCGCCGTGACGCAACCCCATCCCTCCACCCACCACAACCCGGGCCTCCACCACCTACAACACCAGCAACAACAGCCACAACAACATCACTCCCATACCTCCAAGTTACACAATATCCTTCACCCCTCTCATCATGGGTCTTCACAGCCTTCTGCCGAAGGTCATGTGGGCTCCCAGCAGGCAAATCGGGCTGATGCCCGCACTACAAAAGGGAAATATTCCCTAGACGACTTCACTATGCAACGTACATTAGGTACCGGTAGTTTCGGTCGTGTCCATTTGGTGCAGTCGAAGCACAATCATCGCTTCTATGCGATCAAGGTCCTGAAGAAGGCGCAGGTGGTCAAGATGAAACAGGTCGAGCATACAAATGACGAGCGACGAATGCTCAATCGTGTCAGGCATCCATTCCTGATCACATTGTGGGGTACGTGGCAAGACGCAAGGAATCTGTACATGGTGATGGACTTTGTGGAGGGTGGAGAGCTCTTCAGTTTACTTCGCAAATCTCAGGTGAGTGCTCTTCGCATCCCTCCATATCAATGCAAGTTCCGGTAGGCTGATGTCATGGGCCCGTCGCAGCGGTTCCCGAACCCTGTCGCCAAGTTCTATGCGGCAGAGGTTACTCTGGCACTGGAGTATCTACACTCTCAGCAGATTATTTACCGAGATCTGAAGCCAGAGAATCTGCTACTGGACCGGCACGGTCACCTGAAGATCACCGATTTTGGGTTCGCGAAGGAGGTGCCTGACATCACCTGGACTCTTTGCGGAACGCCCGATTATCTTGCTCCAGAAGTTGTGTCGTCCAAGGGATATAACAAATCGGTTGATTGGTAGGCATTTCCCTCAATGAGCTCTACATTTCCATTGGCTGACTAGAACCAAGGTGGTCACTCGGAATTCTTATCTTCGAAATGTTGTGCGGCTTCACACCCTTCTGGGATAGCGGCTCGCCCGTCAAGATCTACGAGAACATCCTCCGGGGCCGTGTCAAGTACCCGCCCTACCTTCACCCGGACGCCGTCGACTTGCTCTCGCAGCTCATCACAGCGGACTTGACCAAGCGACTGGGCAACCTTCATGGAGGTTCCGAAGATGTGAAGAACCACCCTTGGTTCGCGGAAGTCACCTGGGATCGTCTTGCAAGGAAGGACATTGATGCTCCTTATGTTCCCCCTATCCGCGGAGGTCAGGGTGATGCCAGCCAATACGATCGGTATCCTGAGGAGACTGAACAATATGGCCAGCAGGGCGAAGATGTGTATGTGTCCCGGTTGCGAATCATTTTATATCTAAGTACTAACCGAATCTCTTGCTACAGGCATGGCCATCTTTTCCCCGACTTCTAGTCCAAAATACGATACGACATTTAATAGAGCAATGAACATTGGCAATCATTGACTGGAGATGCACACGATACAAATGCACTAGCCACTACTTTAGGCTCGAAATCAAATCTGCCTCTGTTCACTATCGTCTTGAAAGATCGTGCTTGTCTACGACTTTTAGTCTGTCTCGTGACTCGACCATGATGCTCCAAGCTCGCAAATGTGCCTGGAGCATGCCTGTGGAGCTCTATTGAATTCTACGTCTGCAAAAGTTTCCTGGCTTCCACATGGACTGATCCCTTACCTTCTTTCGGCATTGACGCATCTGAGAGATTCTCTTGGAATTCAGGGTGTCCAATATAATGTTCTTTTTGTTGAGTTCGAAGTTTAGCCGTTGAACACGTCGGTGGTGTTCGTCTGGAGAACCCTTTGGTCGGCTACTGGATCCTGGATGATCGGGCTCGTCATTGGTTATCTTGTGTCGCCTTATGTATATCTTTCTCAAGACTTGGGGAGCCTACAAGCCATCCATGTCATTTTTTCCGTTTTCTCGTCGCGCTGGCACACCTGAATGGGTGAGTGTTGGTTATGAGTACGGGATAAAGGTCGCTCTTGGCCTCATCCATTGTCTTTCTATCTGCATCAATTTCGTCTTCAGTCCTGTATAATGTACATATCTTCGATGTCTTGAACAAGTGGAAAAGGTAAGCGTCAAATCTGAATATTATCAAAGACAGACCAGTCGTCTTCCATCCGAGTGGCTGGCAATCGATCTCGGAGGCTCTGCCGCCTCGTTTTTAATTTTGAACGAGTACTATACACAATAGTATCCGCCCGTCACCCTGTATATATAGTAATGTACAGAAACCTTACCGGTTGAAGGTCACGGCAAGAAAAAAGCAACGCCTTTTCGAAGTACCACAAAACCATTCGAAGCAGGGGGTGAGAAAAGCACCAAGAAATCTCGTAAGGTTGCAGTCACAGACACAATCAGCCTTCGACTCCCTCCTCAACAAATATCACGCTCCGACGCGCCAGCGCTCACAGGCTGGATTCCCCAGATTGAACAAACGATGCGTCGAGGGCACCACCACCGTAAGCCTTCCTCTCGTTCGCGAGACGCGAAATGTAGCCACGGCTGACGGCGTTCCAGAAGGAGATGTACTTCTCCATGCACTGCGAGAGACAGGTGTGTTCGGCGGAGGAGAGCGATGTGCCGGGGTTGGGGACGCAGGCTTCGAAGCAGTGTTCGTTGACTTTCTACAAGCGGGAGGAAAACCGTCCTTGGTCAGCTTGGTTTGATCCAGTGTGCTGTGTGGTAGCTTAGGGATATACATACACCGATCAGATTCCGAGCGTTGGTCACGGCGGCTTCTTGCCGCACTTGGTTCATGAGGTGGGTTTTGATATCCGCTTCGCTGGAGGAAGCGGTGTTGGAGCTTGAGGATCCCCAGATGGCCATTTTGGTGGTAGTATTTGGTTTTGTAGACGTCTAAAAGGAATTAAGCGTAGGAAGTGAGGCGGATTGAGGGTATCTGTGGATTGAAGTTAGGATGTTGGATAATGACGCCGACAGGATCTTCGGAAGGAAAAGTGTGGCTGGTGGGGGGCCGCTGGTTCATGAGAGAGCTGCGCCACACATAGGGCGAAGTGGACACTTGGATGTTTACTCGATGAGGTGGGAGCATGGATCTGTCATATACTCCGTCTTCTAACCATTTCTTTGGATCCTTGCTTCCTTTCAGTTCTTCGCAGTACACAGTGAAACCTGATTAGTGTACTTCTTTTATCCCTCTTTACTATCGTTTATTCTTTTCTCCCATATTGCCATTCGCCGAGCTACCCTCTTCCATTGAGCTTGTTCTCCAGGAAGGTATACTTGTCTACAGCTCGCTGATGTCCCGGTGACACTGAGCCCACCCACGCCGATCAGTCTCGAATTTGATTATTCTTGCTCGCTAGCTGCAGTCTGCTCCCTACTGCTTGACCTTTCCGTTCTCGCAATATCTACAATCGTTCATTATCCTAGCTTCTCAGACTCCATCCAATCACATCGATCATCATGCTGCTGCCGCGGCTTTCCTCGCTTCTGTGCCTCGCTGGCCTAGCTACCCTCCCGGTAACAAGCGCCTACAACGGCGACGAGAATATCAAGAGCATTCCGGTACGCAAGACCATTTTTCCATGAGTGCGCAAATGCCCCTCGGATTCGCTAACCTGGACTCTACCAGCTCCGAACTCACAGTCTTGCTCCGGTTGGTCCTCGCTCCGCCCCTCGACTTCCGCTTAAGCCTCAACGCGAACATCGTAGTTGACTTTGCATAGCCATATCTGGATTCGGACTTCCAAAGCCGCTGGTTCGATTTTGGTGGTGATACAATCATCCGCGCTGACAAGTATGCGACCAAAGTCCCCATAACACTCAGTGGGAGATGAGGAGAAGCCTGAGCTAATTGGACTAGGTACATTCGCCTGACGTCGGATCGACCATCGCAACAGGGATGGATCTTTTCTCGGGTCCCTCTTACTGCAACGAATTGGGAGGTTAGTGGTGGACTTTTATATGAGGGGAGGACTTGACAATCTGACGTGTGACCCAGATCGAGGTTGAGTTCAAGATCCACGGCGAAGGAAACTTGCACGGCGACGGGTTTGCCATGTGGCTCACCAAGCAGCGCGCAACCCAGGGCCCTGTCTTCGGATCGACAGACAACTTCGAAGGTCTGGGTATCTTCATCGACACATACAAGAATAACCGTCCCGGAACATCATTCCCTACGTCATGGCCATGATGGGCGACGGGAAGACGTCTTACGACCAGGCTCATGACGGAAAGGCCAACGAAGTGGCTGGCTGTTCTGTGAGCTTGCCCTAATGTTATCTAGGTTAATCGCGTTTGCGCTAACGAGTTGATGACAGGCTCGTGGTCTGCGCGGCGCTTCAATTCCTACCAAGGCGCGCTTGACATACTTCCAGGACAAGTCTCTGACCCTAGACTTGCAGTACAAGTCTGAGGATACCTGGACCAACTGCTTCACCCTGGACGCCCCCGAGACCAATATCGCCATCCCTGCCGTTTCCTACCTCGGCTTCTCTGCCGAAACTGGCGAACTGAGCGACAACCACGACATCATTTCGGTCAATGCCAAGAACCTGTACAGCATCGGAGGCAGCGCCGCCGCCGGCTCCGGGCGTGGTCCAGCAAACAACGGCAGGCAGGACCGGGCCCACGTGAAGGTGCCCAAGCAGAAGGGCGGCTGGGGTTGGTTCCTGTTTAAGTTTATTCTGTTCCTTGGTGCCGTCGTCGGTGCGTATGTCGGTTTCACCATGTACCGGACCAAGCAGCGTTACTCGCGATTTTAGTTGGAAGGATGAAAGCACCAAAAATGCAAAAAGGAAAATTACAAAAACATGTCTACGCAGTCAGACTTTGTTTCTGATTATTTGCGCAATTGCATAGCCGTGTCATATTTGTCTAGTTGCGGGTTTCTACAGTCGTTTTGATATGAAGCAAGAATATGATGAGCTATTCCCTGAGCCTATGACTACGGAGTGAACATAGTAGGAATAAGATATAAGAACTGTGATGAATAATGACTATCGACTGCAGGGTATCATGATATCAAAACGCCGAGAAAATGCTGTTCTAAACTCTCGTCTGACCACGTAAAAAAGTCACCAGCAGTCTACGACTGCTTCGCCCTCGTCTCATTCCACATATGATCGATGATCTGGAAGACCTCGGTCACACTAGCCAACACACTTTCATCGATCCCCAGCGTACCATACCGATGCTGAATCTTATCCGGATGCCAGCGTATCCGCTCAGACTTGAGCACCGCAAGCAGGCCAGCCGTGCCGTCCGCCCCATCACCGTCTCCCGCCCCAGACACCTCCGCCGGCGCATGGCGCATAAACTCCTCCACCGCTTCGCGCGACACATCCCTCCGCTTCCCCGACTCCACCGGCCAAAAGACCAGATTCCGGAACGCCCTGCGCTCGCGCTCACCCACGTTTACTTCCTGATTAACCTCCTCCCAGGCACGCCGATACTCCTCCCAGGCCGTCTTCCACACCTTGAGACGCCGTCGCTCCCGGCCCCGCTGCAGACTCTCCTCCATCGCTTGTTCGAACCGCATCCTCTCGCGCTGGCTCTCTGCGCTCTCCTCCTCGCGCCGCTTCTGCCGCGCTCGTTCGGCGCGCAGGCGCTCTTGCTCCTCGAGCATCCCCTCGCGCGTCCGCGCCCACATCCGACTGCGTACGTATGTCGCGTACTCCTCCTCAGACATCTGCTCTAGCTCGCCGTCGGGACCCTTGGGGACGGATGGGACGGGGTATTTGTGGATGGGCTGGCCGTATATGGTCTCCCAGTATGCGGCGCCTTCATCGTCGCCGAGGGCGTCGAAGAGGGACTCGCGGAAGGCGGTGTCGGGGGAGAGGCGGGATGGGTTATCTTGATCGTGGGGGTTGGGGGAGGGCGAGCGCTTGGATTTGTGTCGTTTGGAGGAGCGATGGTGGTCGTGGCGGTGGGAAGGGCGGTGATGGCGGCGGTGGTGGTGGTGATGGTGGTGGGTATCGTATGGTTCATCCCGGTGAGACTTAGATTTCGATTTTGAGGATTTGAAGCGGAATTTACCTGTCGCTGGGCGGCTGTATTCGTTGTCTGCGCTAGGAGCCTCTGGGGATGCATGTGATTCTGGACCATTTTCTGCGGCGTTTGCTGTGTCCATGGTGTGGTTTCATTATAAAGTATGCATGAGGTTGACTAGGGTTGATTGTGTCGTACTTTTCCTGTGATGAGAGAGGAGTCTAAGAGCATGGTGGAATGAGCTGAGGACGATGTTGCCATTTCTCTTCTCAGATCCAATATGTGATTAGTCATCCTTATCTTATCAGATCATCACCTGTCCCTCCTCAGGCTTATGATGTCATCTCCAGGATACTGTTGATGATGAGAACAAACGGCACGACGGGTTAGTCGATCTGATCCGAGTCCAGAGGCTATGATTAGCATTATGGTAATTGCATCCCATCCTGCTTCTGCCTGCGTGCGAAGCTACTCCAGCGATAAAAGTAAGACGATATCTTGACTCCGTGGCTAGTCCTGATAGCCTAGACTAATCAACGTGAGCAAGACAGTTGTATCTTGGCTGAGTGAGATGCGACATTACCCAAGATAACTGAAACATCAGAGATTAGCATGCAGGAGATACTGCCCTTGAGGTGTGTCTGTCAAGGTTAAGGCAGCAAGATGATAGCGTGGTGGCGAAAATGACACCATATAATTCAGGCATCAACTATTTCCTCAATAAGGCACATGCGGAACTGTCTACCATGACCGCGGGCCGTATCGTCATCTTCCGCTACGCATTTCTAAATTCTTATCAAGACAACGTCCAGCCAGTCCAACCCAAAATGGCTCTTGTATCGTACTCAGACTCTGAAGCTTCAGACTCGGAGCAAGAAACCAAGGTCACTCAACAATCAAACAGAAGCCAAGCTCCCACGCCTGCGAATCCACCCAAGCCCTCCTCCGGCGCAAACTTCGTCGTCGACCGCAGTAACCCCGCAAGATCCGCGTTGCTTTACCGGAGATCAAACCCGAGAACCCTACTGCAGATGGCGAAGGCGAGCCAGCCCGGAAAAGGGTCAAAACAGGCGGAGGCGGGGCATTTTCAGGTTTCAATGCCCTTTTACCACCTCCTAAGAGGACCAACGTTACAGCGGAGAAAGATAGGAAGACGGCTGCGCCAGCTCGGAAGGTGTTCAGCTTGAAGACCGGCGCGGCTCCTGGTTTTGACCGCGAGGCTGATGAGGAGTTTCGGAGGGAGCAGGCGTTCGATAGCTTGGCGGGTGATGGCGATGATGAGACGATACCCAAGCCCGGGAGTCTTCGGAGTGGGCAGCCTGGCGACAACAATGCCGCGACGGCTCAGGTAGACGGAGAGAAAAAAGAGGAGCTCAAGTTGAAGGGGAATCCGATGATGTTCAAGCCGTTGTCCGTGGGGCGAGCGTCGCAGAAGAAAAAGAAACAACCGGCAAAAGCTGCATCGTCGTCTTCTTTGACAACTGCGAACGAAACAACAGCTCTACAATCCTCGCATACGTCCAATGAGCAACCAGCACAGCCAGCGCTACCCGCGCCTCAGAAACCGAAAATCAGTCTGTTCTCCTTGTCCACAGAAGAAACTACGACTTCGAAGATGCCCGAACCCCAAGCACAAGCCGCTACTTACGAGCCATTGGTGTACACCACCGACCTAGAAGCCACCCCGGCCGGCCCAGAGCCGGAGCCTGAACCCGCGACGGCCCCCTCACAGCCACCGACGGATCAAACATTGGATAACATCGCAGACGATCTCAACTTGTCCCGGGCCCAACGGCGACAGCTCTTTGGACGCAATGCCGACCCTTCCAAATCTCGAATTCTGCACTTCAATACAGACAAGGAATACATCGCCAACCAGGAGTTGGCCCACCAGACAGATCTTGCTGCTGCCCAGCACAATCCGGTTCGGGCCATTGCTCCGGGCAAACACACTCTGCAACAGCTGGTCAATGCGGCGAGCACCCAACGGGAGGCTTTGGAGGAGAGTTTTGCCGCTGGACGAAGGAACAAAAAAGAGGCCGGATCCAAGTATGGGTGGTGAACTTCCTGTACTCTCTGGTCGTGTTATGCAAGTCTTTCTGGAAGTAGTCTATAGATACCAAATATATCCGCAATTTATTGTTCACACTGGAAGAATTATATCTTAATCTCGTCTGAAATGTTTGAATGAGGAAATAAAACTGCTTCGAGATTCATCAACTATACATGAGATGCTACCTATACAAATGAAATCAACCATATAAACAAAATGCCCAACCTTTTTTATCTACCATGACCATGCATAAATCTCACGATGATACATCAACAACCTCTGCAAACCATTGTTTCAAAGCCGTAGCCAGCACAGCCGGTAACTCCCGAACGTCACGCACAACCAGGTAGTATGGGAAGGGGAATCCCTCCAGGTATCTCTTCATCTTCAACTTCATCTCCCCAGTTCCGCTCTCCGTATCAGGCTCGAAGCTTGCCTGGCTGAGATCCAGGATTGAGCTGCCCTTGACGGCATCAACGATGATGAACACGATCATGATCCGCTCCTCTTGAGCTTGACGCACAAGACGCCGGATGGTATCATGATCTTCGCAGATACCGTCGGATATGATGAGCTCCAGTTGCCACAGGTCGGCGTTGCCTCCTGCGGGGGACTGTTTCCAGCGAGCTTCGCGGAAGAGGGCAATGGAATCAGCGATCAGTTTGCGCACATTCGTGCCGGTCTGCTGGTAGCTGAAATGTTGGAATACTTGTGTTCCGGCTTCCGAGGAGAAAGGCTTGCCGAATTCGTGGGCGACTCGGACGTGATCCTCGTCACCGAACCCTAGCACACACAGGTCGCCTACTTCGAGCATCGACAGACTCTTCGCGACTAGCGCCAGGGTCTCGAACGCCAACTGCCCGCTGCCGCTCTCCAGCATGGACTTGCTGTCATCGACTGCAAGCATGATTTGGTAGTTGCGCTTGGAGGGAATGGACCGTCGCATCCAGATCTTGTCACGCTTGTACTGTGAGGCAATGTATGGAATGATGCGCTTGATATTCAGCCGCTTGCCAGTACGGAAATCGCCCCGCAGCTTTGTAGCAAGTGTAGGGGCCAAGATCAGACGTAGCTGCTCAGTCAGGGATAGAGAGAGGTTGTTTGTGGCATTTTCGTAGTGCGACCAAAGACGCTGGGCTTCTTCTCGTGGAGTTAGTGGCGGAAGAGTCGACGACAGGTGAATTGCCGCAAGATGGGCGTCCACCTCATCCAACTCGTCGTTAGCCTCAAGTTGACCAGTAGCGTCTGTTGTTCGCTCCTGTGTGCGGGAGCTGTCGGGAATCAATGCGCCTGCGGTTTGCCCTTCAGTAGGAACGCCTTCTCCGTCTATCTGCATGTCGTCCTCCAATCTATTCTCCTCCGCCAGATCTTGCGGCTCCTCGCCAGCGTCTGGTAACATATCATTATCGCCAGGTTTGACGTCGGACTCCACGCCCTTGTTCTGGTCCAAAGCCTTTGCTTGTTCCTCACTGGCCTGTCCCAGTGCCTGTGTATCGGCAACATCATCTTGGTCCGCAAGATGCTCGAAGTCAGCATCGGCCATATCTGTATCCTCCGGCAAGGGCTTTCGCGACTCATCATCATCCTCCTGTTTGGAAGCGTCCATAATCTCTTTCCTCCTGCGGTGCCATTCATCAAGAACATCACCCAACTTCTTGAACGCCTGTAATTGAGGATCTTCGGGGCTCACGTCATCAGCACCGCCTGCATCCCTCTTGCGCTGGCTGTCCTCTCCTTCTTTGGCACCGCCAGTCGGCTGTTCTGCGTTTGCGGCCGGATCAGTCGAGCCATCGTCCTGCTGAGCATTGCCGGCTGCGCCTTGCTCTTTGTTTTGGTCTTCTTCTGCGCCCAGACCACCGTTAACAGCTTCGCTAGGAGCAACCTCCTCGCCACCAGCTTCATTGTCATCATGCTGAGTCAAGAACTCTTCTTGCTGAGACTCCTCTGGTTCTTCCTCCTCAGCTGCGTTGGCTTCATCGGTTCCCTCGGCCTCGTTGGCCTCTTGGTCCTCCATGGCTTCTTCATCTATCTGGGCAGGCTCCTGCTCGTCAGTCGGATTATCCATATCTGGATTTTCAGCATTGTCCTCGTTTCCTTCAGCCTGTTGCTCGTCCTCCGCAGGTGCAGGACCGAAATCCGACATATCGTCCATGCCGTCGTCACTTTCGGCACCGTCATCTTCCTTTTCCTCGCCGTCCAATTGCATCTCCTCAGGTAGGTCAAGCGCCTCTTCTTCCTTGGCATGAGGGTCCGTCACTTCCATATCTTCTCGTCCAACAGCCTCGCCTTCATCTTCAGGGCTTCTTCGTCTTCTTCGTTCTCTTCTTCCTCACCCTCCTGCTCTGCATCCTTGTCACTCTTCTCCTGGGTCTTTTCTTCCTCCTGCGCTGCGGTTTGCTCATCGGATCCAGCTGCTCCCTTGCCTTGTTCGTTCTCTGTTTCTTTCTGCTTCTCATCATGGTCGCCATCCCACATCTTCTCATCCACTGCGGTGTCGTCGATATCGTTGACGCTGCCTACTTCCTCATCGATATCGTCTTCTCCTTCTGAGCCACTGGCGTCTTCATCTTCTTCTTCGTCCTTCGCCTCGCGATCAATCTCTTCGCCTTGCATTTCTTCATGATCCATGTTCACTGCCTCCGCAGAATCCTCCATGTCCTCAGAGGGCTTCTCATTCTGTTCTTGCTGAGCAAGCTCAGATAAGTCCTCGTCATCCCCGACGTCTTTGCTAATATCTTCAGCACCTTCACCCTCGCCAAGGCCGGTTCCACTTTCCAACTTTCCAGACTTGCTCTCTTCTGCAGATGGCTCCGCCGGGGTGCAGAACCCTTCTGAGGCTATCTGCGTGAATGACTTTGCGAGAATGTACGTCATTTTGCAAGTCTCCCTGTGCACAGACACAAACCGATGAATGATGTCTCTGCAGATGTAGAAGTATCGGTTCGTGATGGGCAATAAGCTCGCCACCAATGCTGAGGCAAGCGCATAAGTGTTCTTAGTGCTGGCTTGCAGATGTTGCAGGTTGTCGAGGACGGATTCGAGGGAGGAAGTAACGTCAGACAAGCGGACAGCCTTCATTGCCCTCGTGAAGAACTCATCACTCCGCGACAGCAAGCCCGTGGAGGCAAGGGAAGCAGGCACGTCTTTAAGTTTCTGAAGACTGACCAAGATCTTGTCAATTGCTGCAAGGAGTCGTGCATCAAATTCCTGGATAGCGAGACTATCCTCGCTGTCAGTCCTAGCAGTCGCATCTCCCTTGGGCTCCGCCCATGGGGTAATTTGTGTTAATGCGAAAGACAACTCAGGACGTTCTGCGGTCCATTTTGAGATATCAGCGTTCAAGCTAGCAAGAGAGGACGTCACCTCTTCCAAGACATCCTTATAACGTCGAGAAGTCATGCCAGAAGGTAACTCTGGAATATTGTCTAGTGATGACTTCAATCGACTAAACGTGGATCTCCAAGCGTTGAGGCCGTCAGAAACCTTTGAGGCATCGACTTCAGAGAACTTGGCATGTAGTTGAACGATTTCCACAGCGAGGCCAAGTATGGGAGTAAGCCATGCCACAGCTCTCCTGAGGTCTTGTCTGTCCTTTGAGAGATTTGAATGCGACTTGCAGAGGGATGCGGGTCCAGAAGTCCAGAGATTAGACATCTTCATAATCGTGGACTTCATCATTTCCAATTGAGACAATGCTGGAGAAATGACCCCGCGCTGCTTTCTTAACAAGATCATCAAGTGCTCGACAGTGCCGACGCTCCTGGAGATCTCGACATTACTGAGATCTTCCGAGTACTCGCGAGACGCTTGACGTACGCGAGGCAGGAGATCCAAGAACCGGTGGAAGTAGAGATCGGAGCCCTTGATGAGATGGGATTCCGAGTTCCCGACTTCCAAGCTTGGGGTAGTAGCGAGAACCTGAGCAATGGAAGACTGGCTCTCAATCAAGTTAGTGCTTGCATTGCGTTTGATACCCATTTCCAGGAGCCGTTTCAATGTGTCTGCATAGAAACGACGCTTCTGGACCTTGAGATGTTGGACATCATCCTTGTTGTCCTCAGTCAGCACTTTAGGAGTCTGAGATTTGAATTCCGTGATGCTCTCAATGAAGAATTTGACAAAGCTGTCGAGATCCTCCGAGATGTCAAACTCATTAGGCATTGAGGAATAGAGATCGGTCATGTTCCCGGCTGTGCTATCCGCATTTCGGAATCTGGGTGGTCTGCTTGGCCATATTGTAGGCTCTTCCTGGCACAAAGCGAGAGCGTCGGGGAAGCTTGTCGAAGCCAAAACGACTTCATCGGTGACCATGTCCGGTTCATTTGGTTCGTTTGTCATTCCCTGCTGTAGAATCGGCTGCGCAGGCTGTGCCAGAACTTCCCGATACTTTCGAACGAGTTTGAACAGCCTGAAGTGTGATCGCCGGGCACTTTCCCTGAGTGCAATAATGTTTGTATCCTTCCAGCTAGCCAGCTGAATCTGTTGCTTGATGTCCTTCTCAATGGCCGCTCTGCGGTCTTCCATCGACTTGTGCACTCCAGACTCGAACGGTCTGAAGTGTTCAAGGAAATTGCCCAATGCAGATACGAGTTGCTCCAGAGCTGGGTAATCGCGGACATAAAGCGCAAGCAGTGACCTGAAATTAGCCACGAGCCTGAGTCGTTCGCTGTATTGCCCGACAGTTGTCGACATGAAGAACTGTTCCAGCGTAGAGATGACTCCTTGGATATGGTCGCTCAACTCGGCTTCACCAGATGCTGCGAGCTGAATGGGGGCTGCAATAATTGCTTCGTAAGCAACAAACCACCATGAGCTCACATCTTGAGCACACTTCTCCTTTTCAAGATCGAGCAGCTTGGCCCAGGTTGACAGTTCCAGCCGGCGCCAGCTGATGATCAGATTGGTAATCTCGTCGTAAAGAGAAGCTGCCGAATACTCTCTGCTTGCCACAAGCTGCCATTCATGAACAAGGGCATGGAGCTTCTCAACTTTTGTAAGAAACTTCGCGACGGGCTCCGTATGCTTGAATTGAAGCACCTCTTTGCAGCAGATAATAACGTCCTGGAGTACTGCATGCTCCGGCCAAGCCTGCTGGATCTGG